CAGTTCTGAGACTTAAAAATTATGTGGATATGAGGTATCTTAGTCCGTTTTGCGTTGCTATAACAGAATCAATACCTGAGACTGCAGACTGGGTAATTTATAAAGAAAAGAGGTTTATTTGGCTCCCGATACTTGTTCTTAGAAGTCCAAGATTGGGCAGCCCATCTGATGAGGGTTTGTGCTGCTTCAACTCATGGTGGAAAATGGAAGAGGAAGCAGGCGTTTGCAAAGAAACCAAACACGAGAAGGAGCAACCCACTGTCACAGAAACTAATCCAGTCATGAGAGAGCAAGATCTCACTCCCACAAGAGGCATTAATCTATTCATGAGAAATCCACCCCCATGAGCCAAACATTTCCCACTAGGCCCCACCTCCCAACACTGCCACATTGGGAATCAAATTTCAACGTGAGTTTTGTTGGGGACAAACCACATCTAAACCACAGCATGAGGTCACTACATTCTAACCCCTTGAACTTGGGTATCTTCCCTATCTTCAGCAGATGTAATCTGTGCCCAATTTCACAGTATCTTTTGGTCTCTCCATGTAGTATGGGCCATGAGTCCTATATACAATTGTTTTGTATACCCTTAAATATGATAGTTTTGTGATTTTAGTAATATAATGTTGGTGTTGGTATGCTGCCCTACACCAAGTTCTTTACATATGTTATCTTATTTAGTTTTTATAGCAGCTTTTGGAAATACAATTTATGATCTCCATTTTACAGAGAAGGTAATAGGATCAGAGAGATTTTCAATAGCTTGCCAAGGGTCATATAGCTAGTAAGTAGTACAGATAAGATTCCAGCACAAGCTCACTGAGCTCTAAAATCATCTTCTTTAGGGCCACTGAGTGCACACTTCAGGAGAATCCATTGACGTTGTCCTTGGTATCAATGGTGCTCCCTGGAGCTGTGCAGGAATTGCTGGAAATATTTTAGCTATTCCTGAGTACTAGAGAAAGGGGGTGAGAGAAGAGGACCAGAGGTTATGGATAGTTTTCACTTTTTTTTCTAGTTTTGTCACAGTTATATATTTAAGATAATAACTCTTAAGCTATTTTTTTTTGTCCTAAGAACAACTGAGACATTGAAGACCTTTAAAATCATCTCTTTTTTTTTGTTTGTTTTGTTTTTTCACCAGAACTTCAGTAGATTAAATAGACGAATGCATGGGGAAGATTATGCAGCCCTGGCCATCCACAGGGTCTCTCTCTTCACTGGATAGTTGGAGGACCAGTAAGCTAGGACAAGGCCTCAAGCTTTGGTCATTCCTCACTTCCACTCTGCCTCTTTCTTAACTATTAAAGATCAGTCACCTGGGCCGAACCCGTGGCTCACTCGGGAGAGTGCAGCGCTGGGGCGCCGAAGCCACAGATTCGGTTCCTATGTAGGGATGGTCGGTGCGCTCACTGGCTGAGTGTCGTGTGGGTGCCACCAAGCCAAGGGTTACGACCCCCTTATTGGTCACCAAAAAAAAAAAA